CGTCATAGTGACCAACAAGTGCTGACTTCAGGATGACGAACTTTGCTGACGTCAACACATTTGAGACTATCGGTTACGGTCTCGAGTAAATCGTACAATTCCATTCTATGTGCGTTTATTTAATTCTGATTCTTACCTTTCTTTGTGCAAAAGGCACAGCAACCCCCATTCTACTTTGTAGCACTTGCAGTCATTCTCACAACCAGGTGAACAGACTGTATTCTTTGTGCAAAAGAGTCATGATATATTGAAGCACCTATCCTAGGGCAACCAGACACGCTTAGTAAGTGTTCGCTTCGATGGCATTCGGGAACTGGCAGACAAAAGTCCATTTATGGTAATCAGTTGCCTGGGAGCGCTAACTAGACCAGGGGCTCCCCGACCAGGCTTCGGCGAGTGAATTGAGTGATACTGCTGATCTCGAGAGACCTGACCGTTGTGGGTCGAGATGGAAGAATCTCTTTGGAAAGCTGAGACGACTGTAAACTTTGTCACCCTCCAAGCGGTGCAACAGTGCGTCGCGCTTGCGGTTTCCAAGCTAGAAGGAGGTGTGCGAGAATGGGCATTAGAATGGTGTGCCGTGAAAGAAGCATTTTCAAAACAGGAAATTTCAAAGCGAAATGTGCCACGGGTGTTCGAATCACCTTTCCAGCGAAACTGAGCTAGACCGACACTCTTGCCAGCCTACCAATAGAGAGGCGACAGCTAGCAAGTTTGGTTCGGGAACAAAAGCACGTGTTGCCGCGACGGCATCAGATACCCATTCAGGGGCGGTAAAAGCTTCCATCTCAAGTGAGGGACTCCGAACATCGAGACCTAGCACATTAAAGCACAGCTCTTTTGATGAAGCGGTGAACCTCGCATTGATTGCGAAATAGAAATAACGTCCAATAAAGGAGGGCTCTTGGAGCTGATCAGAGGCAATTGAGGGCAGTCAAGCTGAGGAGAAAGAGAAAGCTCTCGCTGCAGAGCGGCTCCGCAGCATTCGCAGATGTTTAGTCTGTGAAAGTACCAGAATATCCTTGAAGCTTAATACACAAATACTAGCAAAGTCATTTCTATGCTCCAATCAAGTGGAACAGAAACGCTTTCCGCGTCTTCTTCGCTTTCAACTGAGAAGCACGAAGCGTTTGGCTGTATTCCAAGCTCGCCCGACAAAACCCCAGCGAGGAAACGTCGATCCTCTGAAGGTTGCTCTGCTCTTGATGAGAAAGGACTGAGTTTTATTCTACTTTACGAAAGTAGTGGTCGATGGGAATCAATCCAAAAAAGAGCGATTATCTTTTAAATTGGCGGAGTTGCTGCTTTTCATTAAAGTTTTGAGGTTTGTGCAGCCTTGAAGAACTCGAGTAAATTCTGATGTGTCGTGCAAATACTTAGGATGTGCGACAGTCGAAAACAGAAGACAGATGTGAAGGCGTTTAAGATGCTAAAATCGGAAACGATGCCCGAGCGTTTTGTGATGGGGACACAAGTACAAAATCGAAGCTTATCCATATGAAGCGATTACTAAGTAACGCTACCTCATTCCGGTCTGAATTCAAGAAACGATCTTTAGCTATGATGTAGCTGAAACACCACGATATATGGACCAAATAAGAGCCAAAAAGGATGGTACGTTCCACTAATTTCTTGGTAAAGCTTTCGCGAGCTATGACCCATCTCTGCCAAGAGGCAAAAGAGCTTCTGGTTTGAGTGCGAAGACACGATAACTTCAGTGCCGGCTATAAGATTGCTAGAAATTGATAGCGTCAATGAGTCGCCTTCTCAAGATAAAATTGAAAAAGCATTCGAATATCGTAAACTCAGAGTACACCTATCTTATAGCAAAAACGAAGACTGTGTGTCGTGGTTTCCAGGTTATTACTCTGACACGATAAAGAAAAGCTGTAAGCTAGCGCTTTTTCTTCAAGAGCCTTTGGAGAGTGGAAGCGACTGGGGTTTGCAGTTTTATGTGCCAGATCAGTTAAAGTCACGATGCAACCTCAAGTCGCGAGTAAAAGGGCCACGCGTCATATTAAAGGTGGACGATCCACAATAGTCACGATGTAATGGTACTGATAGTCAGCACGTCCATAACGTGCTGAGCAGCAATTTTCCTCGAGTAAGTAGAGAGATATAATAATTTCGTGAATGAAGTGACCAAAACAAAGTGTTCCTGCTGAGTCTTCTTACGTAAACCGGCTCGAAAGAAGCTAGGGTTATCACCCCCAGAATACGCGCTCGAAATATTTAAATACGTTGAAGTTGCTGGAATGGTTTGATTGGTTTTGGATGTTATCATTCGTGGTGAGTGAATCTGTCGTCGAGGACATTTGCAGAGCATTAAGTGTGAATATTGGGACAGCTATTTAAAAAATTCTATGGATACTGTTTATTCTGGTTGATGGACTTTCACGACATGGTAATACGAGATCTACAATAATGAGTGCTGCCCTCGAATACTAAAGTGCGTCATAATATCGTATTGGCTCTTGGAACCAAATGTCGCATCACATGGTAATGGCCCCATGTGAAGAGAAAAGGAACGTCAGTGATACATTCAATCAAGCAAAGTCTGAGTCAGCTTGATGAAAGAGAGTTAGTCTTTCAATTCGTAGTTGTCTTTTGGTGTCAGAAAGGATACCGGTAAGGTGTGCAATTTACATACTTATTATACACTGAATGCAGTCGTAATTCTGGCACAAAAGCTCATTCCTAGAAATAATATGCTGAAGAACAGCACGGTCTGCTGCGCTTTATTTAGTGCCTTTGTAACGGGTTACACGTATCCTGGTACACTGGCGTGGGTCACGTGACAATACAACGGTATGGCTACAACTTAACAAGAAGCCACTTCGTGGCGGGACTGCCACACTCATACTGGTTCTAGAATAGAACGTAAATTCGGTGATTTTTAGTAACCTTCCTAACTACGGCAGCCCGGCTGCACTTGGCAGCACTCGTTGTCAATCTACGCCTGAGTCGTTACGACCGATCCTCTGTCAGAATGGAGCAACTTTTCTTATCTTTCAGGGCATGTAGGACGTGTTTGAAAAGCAGATGTCCCTGCTTGGCCATGAGGGCGTGCAGCCCCTTGCTCCGCAAGGATCTAATGCAGGTAAGTGCGCGCCTAGATACGCTCTCGATCTCTAAAATGCTCTGCTAAAGCATCAGCAGAAGACGTCGGTGACGACCATGACGCCACCGTCGACGACTGACAAATTCTCCCAATCCAGGCCGCTTATAAGGAGCGTTAAGACCTTCGAAAGTAGGGATGGAGAGAATGTCCTGCTGTAGGTGACAGAGGCAGAGATTGCTACGGTATCCATCATGCTCAGAATGAGCATTGTCGTGGTGTTCCTCGGTTGAAGCGGCGTTCTTCTCCTGGGAAGAGCAGAAGCGTCAGCTTTTGCGAGTGTTCTCGCCGCCTAACCAGATATATCGCGTGCGATCCCGTTTCCTTGCCACCTGACAGGGCGAAGAAATGTTGTTGAATTCTGTCGAAGAGTTGAAAGCTCTCATAGCTGGATGGCACCGATCCTCTTCCCAAGACGGTCGCAGTGACCGTCTT